CCAATCTAAAATGAACAAAAAATTAACTTAGGAATGGGAGAACCATGGTAAAAGGATAGATGATGAAAACTGAATCAATCTGAATGACAGAAAAATAAGTAACCAAAATCAGAAGGGAGGACATAGGAAATTTCATTTTTCAAATCAAGGAGTTAACATACAAAATCTTTTTTTTTTTGAGATGGAGTCTTGCTCTGTTACCCAGGCTTACTGCAACCTCTACCTCCCGAGTTCAAGCAATTCTCCTGCCTCAGACTCTCTAGTAGCTGGGACTACAGGTATGCGCCACACCGCCCAGCTAATTTTCATATATATATATATATATTTTTTTAGTAGAGAAAGGATTGTACCATGTTGACCAGGCTGGTTGGTATCAAATTCCTGGCCTCAAGAGATCCTCCCACCTCAGCCTCCCAAAGTGCTGGGATTATAGGTATGAGCATTCACACCCGGCCAACAGATAAAACCTCTAATAAAATACAGGCTAAAAGCAGTAACTTCAACTGAATATTTTTCACCTTTTTAATCTTAAAAGCAATCTTTTATAAAATATTATCTCATGTGGTAAAAAAAGATTTACTTGAAGTTTAATAATTCCTTCAAGTAAAATCAAGTCAAAAGTAAATGCTTTTTAAAAAAGAAACTAATAGTATCATCTCACTTTTAGAAAGTATTTCTATCAACTTGTCTACCCACTTACCCTTCTGTTAATATATATGTACCCATACACACACACAGATGTTTGAATGTTTTCCTAAAATTAAATAGTTATTTCAGATGGAAAAACTTGAGGTGATTTCTTTTTACCTTTGTAATTCTGTACACTGCTTGAATTATTTATAATAAAATAGTATCATTTTTCCTCAATCAAGTAATGTTTCTTAAATAAGTGGAAGCAAATATGCTAAGACACCAACTGTGTTAATTCTGCACAGTGGGAACTGTTTTTCTGTACTTTTCTATACTTTTTAAGTTTTTGCAAAGGTAAAAAAGGAAAACATAAAATCATATAAAACATAATCTCATTTTTTTCTTAAAAAAATAAAACTAGGGCTGGGCACAGTGGCTCATGCCGGTAATCCCAGCACTTAGGGAGGCTGAGGCAGGCAGATCACCTGAAGTCAGGAGTTCAAGACCAGTCTGACCAACATGGAGAAACCCCACCTCTACTAAAAATACAAAACTAACCAGGTGTGGTGGTGCAAGCCTGTCATCCCAGCTACCCAAGAGGCTGAGGCAGGAGAATGGCCTGAACCTGAGAGGCGGAGGTTGCAGTGAGCTGAGATCGTGCCATTAGGAGTTGCCATTTGCTTGGATTAATGATCTGGGATGATATGATGCATAGACCAGAGAGCCCAGTGAGAAAACCCAGGAAATTCAGCACCAAGGAGTGAGACTCAACCAGAAAGGCTCTTATGAATTATGTGTGGAAATGACAAGTGAGACTTAGAAGCCAACCTCTCCAAAACAAAAAATTCTAAGAAAACAGCAAGCTAAGGATGAAACTTGAAGAATCAGTCATTTATACCTGATGGGGAGACCAAGGAACAGGGAGCTGGCAACAGCCTCAGAGAAACAGTATTCAGGAGAACTAGAGAATTACATATTATCCCAGCAGACAGCATTTCAAGAAGGATACTATCATTTGTATCACGAAATCAAAATATAAACAAATAGAAAAAAGCAGTGAGATTTGAGAAATAAGTTATTAGCAACCTTTATTAGTGTAAAAATCAAACTTCACTTAAATAAGATGCAATAGAAGATTCAGAACATAATTTTCAATGTGGCAGTAAAAAAGAATGAAATTATTCTGTATAGAAAAATATATGTGTATGTATATATTTAGTTAATGGTTAATGACAAAGTAAACATAATGGGTTTTGAATTTATCAGTTACAAAGTAAATTATGAAAGGGTCAATGAACAAAATCTCGAGAAACACTGAGAACCTTAAATATCCAACAATGGTTCTAAGAATTTCCCTGAAGATGTAAAAATCTAAAATAGAGATCTATGCTAGAAGGAGCTAATATCGTTATAAAAGAGATTTCCAAAGTAGCACATCTATGGTTCTTTACTGATACATATATTTAAAAACTTTGTTGACATAGGGATAGGAATCACCCACTCAACAAAAGCTGTTAATACACATACACAGAAAATATAAAAACATTCAAATGCAAATTCCAAATTCAAAGAGGAGACTAAGGTTAATTTTCCTTTAGTTTTACAAGTTAAATTCCGTAATAAAACAGTTTTACAAAACAAATTCTAAACCTCATTCAACAGTATTTACTAGGCCGGGCGCAGTGGCTCAAGCCTGTAATCCCAGCACTTTGGGAGGCCGAGGTGGGTGGATCACAAGGTCAAGAGATCAAGACCATCCTGGTCAACATGGTGAAACCCCGTCTCTACTAAAAATAGAAAAATTAGCTGGGCATGGTGGGACGTGCCTGTAATCCAAGCTACTCAGGAGGCTGAGGCAGGAGAATTGCCTGAACCCAGGAGGTGGAGGTTGAGGTGAGCTGAGATCGCGCCATTGCACTCCAGCCTGGGTAACAAGAGCAAAACTCCGTCTCAAAAAAAAAACAAAAAACAAAAAAAACAGTATTTACTAGAACCAAAATGTCAACTCAAGAGTTTGCATTTGCTCTTGGAATTCACAAAAGAACAGGATGATTCTTGAAAAGCAGACGAAGCTATGGCTACTTAAAAGGAAAATTATCCACGGCCGGGTGTGGTGGCTCACATCTATAATCCCAGCACTTTGGGAGGCAGAGGCAGGCAGACCATCTGAGGTCAGAAGTTTGAGACCAGCCTAGCCAACATGGCAAAACCCTGTCTCTACTAAAAA